AAAACTTACATATTGTGAGTGTGTGTGTGTGTGTGTGTGTGTGTGTGTGTGTGTATATATACATACATACATACATACATACATACATACACTGAAACTCAGACCCTAGCCTCACCAGAAGTATCGAACTTAAAACAATTTCAAGAACGTCTGCAAACTTATGACAACTGCCATAATCAAGTAATATATTATCAGAATGATAAAAATTAATTGAAAAACATATTAATAAAACTAGCAAGAGGCTCAATCTTGAATTAAACACTTCTTTTACTGATAATTCAGGTATCTGTGAGTGAGAACAAAGTTTTACCCTTTATGAAATAGAAACCTTTGCTATAGTACGATAATACAAAATGTAAGAGTATTATTTGGAAAACATTACACAAATCTATACTACATTATCCATCATAAGATGCTGGAAAAAGTTAAGACTAAAAAAACACACACACACACACACAACAAAAAATGCTTATTTGCTAAAACAATAACATCTAAATTGTTTAAATTAACACTGTTCACTGAAGTATGTATTCAAAAAAGCTAGTAAGTTTCCAGATCATTGAATAAAATTGTGCATGAGTTATCTAATACACAGTTATATATGCAGATATTGAAATTGTTACAATACTATTCTTTAGCCTGATTGTTATAAACATAAATAAAAAAGTTAATTTTCCTATCTAACTTGTTTAATTTAATAGCCATTACTCCAAGGAAACGTTCTTCTTGGACGCGTTATAAGAAAAACAAGTACACAGCTTCAATTAATTTTGAAGTCACCTTCTTACCCTATTCATAAACAATGTACCAGATCATACATGGTATGTCACCTCACTTGCAAATAAGAAACCTTATAAACTAACTTTATTCACTTACTTACTGATCAAGGTGCCCAAAATCAGCTCACTGTAAATTATATTTTGAAATTGCTAAGCCTTTTCAACCCAAACAATTTATGTTATGTTTTTTTAAAGAGGAGCATGACTTATGTAGAAACTCACCTGTGGCCAAGGTTTTTATTAAACATAGTTTGAACTGATTTACTAGAACATAACTATGAACAAGGATTTACATTCTAAAATACTCATTTTTTAATTAAAGAAAAATATGAAGTGTTCATACTACTTTCTTTGGAGAAAGTACAATAAGAGATGGATCAGTTACAAACCTTTATTCACATCCCAGACTAAATACGTCAATGATTATTTAGACACAAATATCATCACTCTGACAAATCCAAGACATATAGTACATACAGTTACTTACTGGAAGAGGTATAGAGAGTGAGGTAAAATTTATGTCCCCCAAATGCCACATTGTCCCTGACTATCTTAGAAAGTGTGTAAGCAAGTAAGGACAACACTGTGGGCATCTTAGATAAAGACTGATGCAAAGTGACAAGATTTTGTACGTAAATCTAAATCAATTAATGTAATCAACTGTTGAATGTGTTTGTGTGTTTTTTTTGGAATATTGAAACCTTCATCTAATGTCAAGGTTAAGCTAATGAATTTGTACAGACATAGATACAAAGTAAAAAAACAAACAAATGAATTAGACTGTCACATTAAATATTCATATAATTGAAAAAAAAGTTTAAGGTAACTGTCAGCAAAATTTTGAATCAATTTATTATCACCTTTTCTAATTGTAAACAAGTTGTTTTTTTATAAAGAGAATACTGAACAGTTATGAGTTTGAAATGAAACATGTTCCAGTTTTGAATTTTCTATTCCTTTCACTCTCGATGGACCAGAACAAATAGCCCGAGACAGCCTAGCACTGCATACTGGAAAAAAAAAAAAAAGACACCAAATTATAATTTCAAAAATAAGATTTCTTACATAAAATGAGCATAATATAAAACATGAAGATACCGGTACCTTCAATTTTAGCCGAGACAACCAGTGAATTTTGCCAACTAAAACAAATACTCTTACAAAAAAAAAAAAATTGCATTTATGCTAATAGCTAGAGTATAATAATATATCTAAAAATTATAGTGTACAAATTCAAGAAAACTTGAAACATTCAATGAAAATCTATTATCTTTTTGATGCCTAAGGCATATTCTAACGTTGCTAACTTTAATTATCCATTAAAAACGTTTAGCGTGAATCTTAAATACATTATTTTTTAAGTTTTCTCAATATCCACTGCTTTTCAAAATTTAAATACAAATTGAAAATGTTGAAATTATTTTACTTGCTTCACATATGCTTCACTAAATATTTATGTTTAGCTACTGAACCAAGTGTACAATCTATTACTTTTACTCTAAACAGAAGTGTGATACTGAAACTCCTTCAAATAAGAAGAGCTAAAAAGAAAAAATAAAGCTCAATGAACTATAACATTCTATCACATTTATATAAAAGTATATTCAAAAGTATTTTTCTTGTTTAAAGGATCCGGTGAATTCATAATACAAACAAGTCACAGTGAAGCCTAATAAAGATTTTATAAGACTTGGTTCAGATATTTGCAGTAAAATTTGAGTTGAAACACAAAATCATACGTACTAGAAAGAGATGGGTTTAGTTTTGTTTTCTGTTATGTATATAATTCATATTTTTACATTAAACTACACACTGGATATTTTCTTGTTTATTGTGTCAACTTCCTGTATTAGTTGGCGTGTTCAACAACTGTTTCTAGAAAACTTAACTTAATTTGGTGTTTTAAGTCTAATTCATGTTTGTTTACTTTGTGAAAGAAATAAGTTTGATGTGCATGCACGTTTTAACCAACAACAGACCAATACCAATACAAAAAAAAATGTAGCCATATTACTCATTAATAAAACTTAAACAATTCTACAATTAGCACTTAACAAGATAAAAATACATTTATGTTTATTTTTCTCCAGGTTAGGGTAATTCTCAGAGTAGTTTCCTGCAGAAGCATTTCAATAAAATACTGTTTAACCAATTGGATTTCACTGTCAAATAAAATTTTAAAATATCATTTACTGATAATTTAAAATCTTGGGCTAGCTATTAATGTTTCAAAGAAAAACTCCCTAGAGTGTCAAGCCTTAGCATGGTTGCTATGCTAGGAATCTCTTGAAACAACTACATGTTTCACAGTAATTAGACAAGTGTCCTCTTTCTTTTCTTGGCCAAGCAACTTATACTCTTAGACACAACCTTCATGAACGCAGATGAAATATTACAACCTAAAGCAAAATGTTTGAACACATGAAAATACATGCAAGGTTCTGTGAAATAATACAGCAAACCTGAGTAGCAGAACTTGGATTGGAAATTTAAAAAACATACTGTTTAGTAAGACATGACAAGTAATGTGTGTGTGATACACCTAAACACTAACAAAAAAAGTTTATAGATTCCTTGATGTCAAGATGTTTATATTATAAATGGAAGCTTAAAATAAACACAATTAGTTAAGTAGCAACAATAGTACACATCAGTTTTTAAAATAATATAAACAAACATCAAGCTAATCAGAGCTTTAAGTCATCACATTAAAAACTTAAAAAAAACACAAGTGTAAAAAGTTTAAAGTACACAAAATTAATAAGATATTTTTATTTAAAAACATACACATTTTTATAAATGAGAAAAGAAGTCAACATAAAATGCAAATATTTTTTAAATATTTATATTAATTCTCATACTCTTACTTTCAACCCACTAGCTAGCATTGTTGTTAAAATTAAGAAATAAATGGTATGAATCACATAACATGTCTACATAACTTAATAATACAAACCAGCCTGTCTACATAACTTAATAATACAAACCAGCCTGTCTACATATCTTAATAATACAAACCGACCAATCTACATATCTTAATAATACAAACCGACCAATCTACATATCTTAATAATACAAACCGACCAATCTACATATCTTAATAATACAAACCGACCAATCTACATATCTTAATAATACAAACCGACCAATCTACATATCTTAATAATACAAACCGACCAATCTACATATCTTAATAATACAAACCGACCCGTCTACATATCTTAATACAAAATAACATGTCTACACAATTTAATCATACAAACCAACCCGTCTACACAATTTAATCATACAAACCAACCCGTCTACACAATTTAATCATACAAACCAACCCGTCTACACAATTTAATCATACAAATCAATCCGTCTACACAATTTAGTGATACAAACCAACTCGTCTACACAATTTAGTGATACAAACCAACCCGTCTACACAATTTAGTGATACAAACCAACCCGTCTACACAATACAAACCAACCTGTCTACATAACTTAATAACTCAAAATGAGTTAATTAGATGCAAACTTGAATTAAATATCTCAAAACAATAGTATTTGTTTCAGCTTATCAACCTAATTATTCAGCCTAAATTATTATAGAATAAAATATCTTTGAGCAGCTTACCTTTAATTTTGGATAGTCATTCATTAATATTGTAACTATTCCTACATACGGGACAAACCTGCAAAAGAATGCACTAATAATTCACTCTGTTCTGAATGGAGAAACTTATATCTAATTTTCATAATTGTACTAAAATCATGTGACAATGTAAAGAAACATTTCAAAGATATTTTCATTATCAATATAAAAAAATTGAATGAGATTTCATGCTTAATAAATTTCTAGTAGTCTCTATTGTCATAACTGTAGCAATCTCTTTATTACAGCTTTTCACTTTTGCATACAATAAAAAATCTTAATTGATGCTTTCCCAAAGACCAAAATAATATTTACGGAGAAGAATGTTTGACCCTATATATTCTGTGAGAGGCAATATAAATGGTCTATATACTAGAAAAAGTTACAGCTCCCTTAGGAAACAGCAGAATGGTGCTGTTGTGTCTAAATCTGTACACTTTGAAAATTTTGGAATACTTAGAGCAAGATGTCTTTAGGTATTAGTAAACCATAAAAAATCCCTAATGAACTGCACCTATAGTAACAACTGTGTTTCTCAATCTTTCACAATACATTATGTTGAGTTACAAACATGTGTTATTCATCTGACTCATTATCAGACAAGAGCATGAAGTCTAAACCTAAACACTACAAATTAGCCCTTGAATTACCAACTTCTTTTATATCATTCATTACTAGTGAGGCCAACACACTGTATCATAATGAGTAATTTTACAGTTTTTCCTTTTTTAGACATCTCAGTTTAAAGAACTGACAATAAAAAAAAATGAGGGTGAAAACACTCAATTCCTACCAAGGAATTATCTTCAGTAAGTAATGAAATAATTGTAATATCAATGGAAGTTTTCTCTGCATTATTTAGAATCCTGTAACCTACAAGATCATCGACCGAACAAGCAATTTGGTGCATAAGTAGTTTAGAAAATTGTTTAAAATCCAATGATGTCCATATGAACCCAACTAGTACTTGTAGGGTTTATCTTTCATAGCAGTAATTATGCTTAGTTTTGTTAGTTAATTTATTAGTCATCTTTTACTTTTAAAGCTTTTGCATTGCCACATGCTCATATTCTTCACGACTGATACATCTGAAAACTAACCTAGTATTGATCGACTTAGTAAATTAGCAAGGTTGTGTACGATGCAAATAATGTTTACAAGTTAAAAAAGTCTTAAGAATAAATTCATATTTTGAAAGCATTTGAGAGAACAATGTTACAATGTACTCAATGAACAATTTAACTTTTTCAAAACTGCAAACAGGGGTACATACTTCAACACTCAAATTAATTGTTTCTATACTAGACAAAACTAAATTACATACTGATCAGTAGATTTTAAACATGTCTGAAAACATTTAAACCCGTACCCTCTTGCACGTCCTACTATGTCTTTCTTGTTCAGCCACAGCTGACCAGGTGCATATAATCCACGATCATCTACAGAATTGTTGTCACCCTTTGTCAAAATTTTAACAGAGCCATCTTCCCTAAAAGATACAATGTATAGTTCATTAACAAATATAAAATTAAGGTGCTTTTAATAAAATCCATGTATATAAATAGATATCCCTTGTAGAAGTTAATACAGAAACTGTCTTTATTAAAATATATATATATATATATACAGTAATAAAAGGATACAAGAAGATTGGGGACAATTAATCTAACTGAACTGTTTATAAAAATATTGTTATGACATTTGTATGTTGTAGGTCTTTTTAAAAATTACGAAATATCAAAAGATTTACTTGAATTTAGTAATAAAAATGACAAAAAAAACTAGGGTTTTTCTCTATAAAAACCTTTAAGTTGTATAATGTGATGCAAGTTTCTCTTATGTGTCTCTAGCCTAAAAAAATCTATTCTAACTAGATGATGAAAACAGAAGTTTTCTATTTTGGCTGCTTAACTCACCGACTCAAACACTTTAAAGACATTTCAAAGAGGAAATGAACCACTTTGGGTTTTTTTTAAGTATACACATAAATACATGTTATACAATCTCTAAATAATAAAAAAAAATCCAGACCATACAAACATTTTACTATACATTCTAACTTCCAATCAACTTCCCTATTTTATTATAATGCAGTTTAACCCTATTTTTCCTTACTACAAATATGTATAGTTGAATTTTGTAACAATGAGTTTAAGATATTTAAAATTGTTGAAATTATAAATACACCTGTTTGTTTGTAATTAAGCACAAAGCTACACAATGGGCTATCTGTGCTCTGCCCACCACGAGTATCGAAACCCGGATTCTAGAGTTGTAAGTCTGCAGACATACCGCTGTGCCACTGGGGGGCACATACACCTGATTCAATTTACTCTGTTCCAGTATTAATGAAATTAAGCTATTATTGATAAAGTTCAGTAACGATTCAGATATACACAAACACACATTTATATATATTTATCATATTTCACATAAATTCAAAGCAAACACTCTCTTAGTTTAATATTATTGTCTATTCTTAATTTAAAAAAATAATTTTTGGAATATTTTGTTTCAAGAGTTCTTTATCACATTTACAAAAGATAAAGTTTTCTGACTTCTCTTTACTGATTCAAACAGAATTGCCATTTCTAAACGGTAACTAGCAGCAAATAATTTATGAAACTTAATTGATCAGGTATTCCAAAGTTTATCATAAGTACTGATACTGACACAAACTGTGTCGGTGACTTTTCATTTACCAACAATGTGGTAACTGTATGGTCCACCATCAAAGTTTATCATAAGTACTGATACTGACACAAACTGTGTCGGTGACTATTCATTTACCAATAATTTGGTAACTGTATGGTCCACCATCAAAGTTTATCATAAGTACTGATACGGACACAAACTGTGTCTGTGACTATTCATTTACCAATAATTTGGTAACTGTATGGTCCACCATCAAAGTTTATCATAAGTACTGATACTGACACAAACTGTGTTGGTGACTATCCATTTACCAATAATGTTGTAACTGTGTGGTCCACCATCATCAGGGTAATTGATTACAATGATTAGTACTGAATGTATTGTATGAATCTTAAAGAACACATTGTTTTACACACTGACACATGGGGTGTGATGTTCAAAAATGTGTCAAACAACACAAATGATAAACAAATCAGTAGTTTACTGTCAAATTAATAAATAACTTTTCCAAGAAAGTTTTGTTTAAGGCTGAATTATATAAATGATCATCAGGTCTATTCCATTTCATTCTTTTAGTGTCTATATAAATTCATCAGATATCATTCCTTTAACAACTTAAAACTCTCAATACCTTGTCTTCTTTTTTAGTCCACAATTCATTAGTACATAAAATTCAAGCACAGGTTTCTTATCTACTAAATATGAAATAATTCTCTTCAATTTCTTTGGGATAGAGATGTAAAAAATAATAATAAATTTTCTAATCCCGTACTTTCAACTTCATGAATAAACCACCAAGTTCTATCATAGAAGTTACTTATGTTATAAACTTATGTGTATCTTTCAAGAAAGATTTTTTTTTTTTATTTATTACCACCACAAAATTTATTCTGCAACACAACAATCTACTTCTATTTTTTTTTCACTTCTTATACATTTTATAATATTGAACATTTAGGAGTTTAAAAAATTAATCTCTATATAATGTATAAATCTACCTAGCATTCCTAATGCAATGCATTAAATAAAATAACTTAATTGTCTAATATCTAGTGACGAGCTGAGTGAAATGCTTGAGCTACACACTACTTGCAGTTGTCACCATTTTCCTAGTCAAATTTTATCTAATACCTACATATTTGAATATTTTCACTACATTTCAAAAGCACTAATGAAATTATTTCAGTTCATTTTATATCAATTTAGAAAAATTTTTTTCTTGCTTTTATCATTCTTAAGGCCTCCAGCATTTATGCATTTTAAGTTTCATGTCCTGTTGATTTTACTATGTAAAGACAGTAATTAACTTGACGTGTATGACCGCAGACCTCTATCAATAAGAGACTTTATAAAAGGAAAACAATGTTCAAACATGAAAAACATTAAGTACACACACACTAAAGAATATCTTAAAAACACTTCTTTTCATTATCTACATAATTTAAATTCATTAAATAAAAAATTATTTATACAGTATTGCTTACCATTTTCTTTTATTATTGATTTCTCTTATTAATATTTTTATGTATATATTTCTCTACATGAATATCCATTTAACACAGTTGATAAACCTGCCTAATGAGCTATAAAAACATATTCATTACCAGCTTTTAGTAAATGGAAATGCCATAGAAAACGATAGTATGTATCAATTAACCAAACAAAGTAATGAAAAGCATTCTGATGCTGATACAAGTAAGCGAATGGAGTCGCTGAATAAGGCCATGAAGAAACGCAGGGCAACGGACATGTGCTTAACTGGAAATACATTCCAAGCTTGTATCATTAAATGACAAGAAAAAAAGAGAGAGAAATCAGCAATTCATTTTACTAGCAGGAAGCATAAGCCATTAAATCAACAGGTTGATGAGAGATTTATGGAGTCTAGAGTGTACTATTAAGATATCAATGAATATCTCGCACCACATTCAGAGAGCAGTTCAGAGTTAAGGTAATAAGGAAATAAAAAACACTAAACTTGAGCCCTACAGAGCAGGGGTGTATAGAAGGAAACACCTACAGGACAGAGGTCGAGCAGCCTGAAATCTAGGCACTTCAAAGGTATAAATAAGGACATGCTAAACTCTAAGAAAACTGAGAAAGAAAATATATAAATTGATAGTATGTCCCAATGCTGATGTGATGCCTTATTGGTACATAAGAAATAGCCAATCGGAACTCAGAAACAGTAGTTATGGTTTGGGTTCCTTTTAGAACAAAATTAACAAACAACCAAAAGCCTAGAGATGTGCTATGGTTAAGGTCTTGCTTCCGCCTAGAACAACACCAACACCCTATTAATTAAGTATAAAAAGCCATTGTTTAAGGGGAAAACATGAGAAGAAAAAAGAAGATAGTCCTTCCACTCTTCAGTGAATCCTCTGAAAAGATATCAGACTTAGAATCTATGAAGAACTTTCCACACTCAAACTTTGTGTAAATCTAAGAACCTTCCCTACTTCGTCTAGTAACATATTTATTAAACAACAGATCATAACAGAGGGTCTAGTAGGAATCTAGCTACTTGATGAATTACTGAGCATAACAGAGATGTTAACAAGTATAGTAGAAGAATTGTTCATGTGAATATAAATTGTTCAAATTTGTTCAATTTAATATACTTTTTGTGTTATCTGGTCTCCAAGTCGTTTCTTTGTTCTTTACATACATTTCCTCGAGTTGGTGGCTTGCTAGCCTTACCCACAACAGCATATAACAAAATATCCTGGTAATAAATTAATTACTCTCTAACAAATGCAGGTCAAAACCCAACAACAAGGGAGAACCCATTATACTAAATACAATAGATAAGTCCACCTTCAACAACATTCAGTAAATTTTCTTTCCACTATCAGTCACTATTACAACCTTCAACCTAATAATACATTTTCAACCAGATGCAGATGCAACTTCTATATGAAAATTATCAACCAGAACATAAACTATTGCTTCAAAAGCATTAATCAGAAGGTTAAATTACCATATGAGAAACATCAACCAGAAGGCTAAATTATTGTACAAGAAACATCAATCACGAAGCTAAACTGCTTTATGAGAAATATCAACCACAAGGCTAAATTACTACATAAGAAATATCAACAAGAGAACAAATTGTATGAAAAGCATCAACAAAACTGTAAAACACCAACCAGAATTTAAAACTTCTGTACAAAAAACATTCAAACATTTCCAAAATAATTTAATGATAAAAAGCTCTTAGTATATTTACATTTTATTTTACTTTTTTTTTTCACCTTTATCCATTTCAGGTTTTTATTGTTTAGTTGATTTATAACTTCTCCAATGAGGAATTTTGTTTGTTTATGTTCACTCTTTTTAGTCAGTCATTATAAACTAACAGTCCTTTAGAATCACAAGTGTCAAATGATCATGTAACAAAAAACAACATATTAACAATAAATAGGTCAGTTATGACAAATCTTGAGTTTAATTTCAAAGATACTCCAAATATATCATTTTCTATTCTATTATATCTTAATTATCTCTCTCTAATGATACTGTTGAAAGCTATATTTTAATATCTTATTTGTTAACAAAGGGAGCTGTGGGTTGTGATGAGGGCTATAAAATCAGATAGGCCTAAAACACCTAGAAAGATCTAAAAGATTTGATGTCAAGTTCTCTAGTGAATTTGAGGGTTGATTACAAATAGAAAATAATTAAAAAGAGTTTTTTTTCCCCCAGAGTTAATGAGTTCATGTGGTTTTAATGAATTATTTCGATCTGTTAGCTATCAAGCTTATCGAGTTATTTGTGCAATTAGTGTAGTAAAGTTAGTGTGGCTGCAAACATGGTCTACAACTTACCACAGTGTTTAAGACTGTAGAAGAGAAAGAGGAACTAAGCTAATTTTTCATCATTACATTGAATTATTTTTATCAGAACCCATCAACAGAAGAATAATATTACAATACTTTAGACAAGTTTGAATTATTATTTTTTTACATCCATAAACATAGTTGCAACAAATTTATTCAATTTTATCTAAGTCTTACCTTTCACTAAAACTTACTTTTCATGCAGCTTTAATACTCTGTGAACAATAGGAATGTCTCGACCTTCAACTTTAAAAACCACAATGTCTCCAACTCTAACAGGATCTTCTTTGTGGTTAGTCAAAAACAACAGATCCCCTCGGTGGAAAGCAGGTTCCATACTTCCACTTAATATTGAAAACCAAGTACATTCTTTATACATTAAGAATTCTATAAAATTAAAATGCAGTATGTTTTTATTAGAACAAAAAACAAAACATGTTCTTTCTCCACAGAGTGGGTTATTATGACACTTTAATTCAAAAAATAATAGAGAAGTAACAAAAACTAGTGTATGTGTACATACTCATCATTTAGTTTTTAGACAATTTTGCATACCTAAAAGAAGTAATTAGAAAAATTAAGCATTTCACAGCGATTAGAAAAATTGTGAGAGCCTGATGAAAAGTGTATACAGAAAAAAAAAAATCATTAAAAATTTGAGTGTTAACATGAAGGAAATTATCACAAAAGCTGCTTCATGCAGCACTTTGATGGTGTTCATGTTAAACCAGACTTCCGTGATATGTTATAGTACATTACACAAAAAGTTACACTTTAACAAAGCAGTTTCTATGCCTGAATAACTTTTAAAAGTGCTTAAAAATAAGTTATCTGAAAATTAAATACCTAAAACTAAGATTTTAATGTTAAAAAGAAATTATATAACTAAGTATGTCCATTACAACTACTTGCTATTCTTCTGGCTATTTGCCGAGATAAAACTCCTGCACCTTTGTAACAGCACTGACAAGATTGATGAAATTTGGAACTGTACATATATAAAGAAATTACAGATTAAATTCATGTTTGAACTTATAAGCTACATAAATTAAAAACTCTATTAGAAAAAAACCTTCACAGTTTCTGGTCATTATCCAAAAGTCATAACAGAGATTGCCTGTGGTAATAGCACCCAAAAGCATTGGGGATATCCCATCTATCAAACAAAATAAAAAAACCAGATGAGAAACCAGTCAGCAGTCATGGAAAATTCATTAAGGGTACAGAGTTGAGTGCTTACACCCATAACGTCTCAACTCTTACTGCCTTTCATTGTCTGCAGCCAGTTGTGGGAAGATAAAATTAAGCCACTCAAAAATGTATATATTTCTATTAAACAATGTCTGCCATCCTCCACCCTTAAAAGTTCTAAAAAATCCTTAAAGTAGAATATAATATAACGTTATCCATAAAAAACGTGCTGTTATTACAAACAGTTAAAAATATTTTTAATTGAGACGTAATAATGCCTTTTAGCATCACATGAGGAACCACACTATTATGGGTGGGCAGATCATGGATGGGGAAATTAAATGCTCTTCTCTTTTCAAAACTATTTAGTTGTGCTTTACCATTTACTAATTGGATATCCATATCTAAATAATTAACATGTATATAATTATTATTACTTTTTTCTGTTTCAAGTTCTTTTGGATACATTATACTTGGTGAAAAGTACTGATTGTTAATAGCGATTAGATCGCCTATAAAATGAAAAGTATATTTGTATAATTTAGGAATTGAAACCTGTTTTATTAAATATATTTTCATAAAAAATCAAATATAGATTGGCCATATTTGAAGAAAGTTAGCTTCCATTAGAATTGTAACAAATTTATCATTATGTATTCATTTTTAATATGAACGTTGTTTGGATTGAATTTGTATTTAGAAATATGAGTGACTTGTATCATCAGATACATGTTTCGTATAACAAATTTGTTATATATTTATTTTAATGTCAATGTTTGTTTCGAATATGTTTATATTTGAAGGCGTGTCTAGCTTACTGTATTAGTTACGTATGGCGAAACTCCCGCCAATTCTCGAAGATTGTAGAATATTGGTGAACACAGAAATCAACAATATATCCACTTCTATCAGCAGTATCATCAGAAGTTTCTAGAAAATGTGTCTCGCCTATAAAAACAGCAGCGCAACGCACCAAAAAACAACAGAGAACAGAGCTAATATACAAGTCTGCTAGGAAACTGTTATAACCATGTGTATTCAATAAGACATGATTTTGCTAACCCTTACCAACCGCAGCACAACGCACCAAAAAACAACAGAGAACAGAGCTAATATACAAGTCTGCTAGGAAACTGTTATAACCATGTGTATTCAATAAGACGTGATTTTGCTAACCCTTACCAACCGAAAAATATATGTCATTTGGCCAGAAACAGCTATAAATTTCGAACATCAGTGAATTCTCATTAAACATTAGTATCTTTCCAAAAATATTGCTGGTTTCTCATCATGAAAATATTATCTTACTTCAAAGGTCCAACAATTCAGTGCCTGACAAAGCTAGCTAGCTTCCCGATAATTGAACGTACATCGACTTCAAGTTGACTCGCTGGATATCAAGAAGACTCTGAACTAGGAAGTTTTAGGTTATTTGTAAGTTAGTGAAATTTCTGTTTATGAAACTTTGTTTGTAATAACTAATT